AAAAGCGACGTTTGGGCTTTTGGAGTGCTGCTGTGGGAAATAGCTACATATGGTATGAGTCCGTATCCAGGTGTGGAACTGAACAATGTATATGGTTTACTCGAGAAAGGGTTTAGAATGGACGCTCCAGAAGGCTGCCCGCCATCAGTGTATCGGCTTATGCTTCAGTGTTGGAACTGGTCACCAAGTGATCGCCCACGATTTAAGGAAATTCACGCTAGTTTAGAGTCACTGTTTCCTCAGTCGAATATTGATGAAGAAGTAGGGTTCTATAATATTTTTGGGTTCTTTCTATATTTCATTCTCTGGTAATTGAAATGGTCAGCTTTATTAGTTGAATTCTATGTTTATTTGAATGTGATTTTTGCCACATGGTAGGTGAGTAAGCAGTTGGAACGTTCTCGAGCTTCCAAAAGACGTTCGCAACGACCAGGTCATGTTCATTCGAGTGTTATTCCCGTCCCTTCTCCGAGGCTTTCTTCTGCACAGCAAAGACTCAGTACTGATGAGCGGAAAGTACGAAGTTCCGCTATGGTTGCACCTCCAAACATTGATTTTCCTCCTCCCCCGTCTAACCATGATCATTGTGTTCCTTCTGCATCTGTTGCGATGGTTGAAGGTCCTCAGTCAAACACAACTTCATTTGCGCGTGATCATCCTGATGTCCCATCAGGAGCACCAAGTCGTAATTTACCATTGCCGATTCCGCCTCTCTCGATGAAACCAAAGTTAATTAAAGCCACACTTACACCGACACAGTCGTCAACTGCTAGTTTTGGTTCGCTTTTTTGCATTTCTTTTTAAATCTGTTTTTTTTATTTACCGCTTGACGGTATCTTTAGAGGCTGTTCCCTACAAATCGCACACTTTTCAATCGAACTTTAGTTTTTTACAAATTTGCCGATTTTTATAGCTTGGGCTTAGCTTAAGAGATGAAAAAAATTCACTTTAAAAGTACGTTGGTTAAAGGCTCAAACCTTAGGTCTAAAAAAGTGTAACTTTTGCCCAGTATGACTGCGTTTGAAACATTATGATTTTGCGCATCCAAGGTTTTTTTCTTTTGTGTCTTACTTCTTGCAGATTCAAAGAAGTATTAATGTTGATGGTAACGAGTTTCATAAAAGATTACAATGTAGAGGTGACATTGGAAAAATCTTAAGACTTTTTTGTGACACGAGATAATTACATGTGCAGTTCCGCAGTTTTTGGGCGAACAGGGAGTGTATTACCCCACGCGTCAAAATACAGTGCCAGTGTAGGAAATTTGGCTACTTTGTCTCAGTTTTTACTTTTGTAATGTTCAAACCCATTGAATACCTCACCTGCAGTTTTAATATACCTTGAAATTAGTTTGAAAAATTTTATTTGTAGTAACTTGAAAGGCTCTTTTGGATAAGGCGTTTTGGAGATTTCTTTTATTATGGCTTTTAAATGTAGTTGTTTGCTGTAGCTGTAACATTACTTCTTTGAAATTGTAGGAGACACGTCGCTAGAGACATGAAAGTTATAAGAATGTATTATTAGTGGAAAAATTATAATTTCTGGATAGTGAATTTGCTGAGCAAAAGTTGGGCTTTTTTATTTTGTACTGTTTGTTGTTATTACTTATGTACTTTTTAAGTTAAGCTTTTTGATTTGCAAATTCTAGTTTAAGGTCTTGAAGAGGCTAAAGCTTCAAAGGGATTTGAAAAGATAGCTGAAAAAATGTGGTTTTTACGTAAAATGGACTTAGTATTTAATGTGAATTGTGACAGTGTCTATTGACATTGGAGGAAATTTAGATTCATTATCATCTGACGTTGTCGTATCTCCATTGGCAGAAAAAAATTTGCGAAAAGTTGTTAATAAGTTTGGAACCATGCCCAAAAATGCTCGTATTGATGCATATCTAGAGTCAATGCGGTCGCAGAATGATGTTGAGCAACAGCAGCAGCAAAACGTTCAGCCATCTTCTGACTGCAGCGGAACCATTTCTGATGATTCGCTTGATGCGAATCCAGTTCCTCCTTCTTACAATCATAGGTATTTAATTATACATTTCTTTTAAGTCTGAACTTTTTTAGCATGTGTAGTCGAACAGAAGTTCTCGTTTTGTAGTAGAATGATGGATCCAATGTGTGAAAGCTTGAACCTTGGCCAGAACGAACTCCTTCAACAGCTGAAGCAGAGGTTGAAAAAAACTAAATCAGATTCACCTGTTGCTGCCTCTAGTCAATCGGAGTCAAGTTGTGCAAGCGTCACTAGTCCATCGTTTGAAGCTGCTACAAATGAAGTGACTAAGCCGGAACCGAGGCCTCGAAAGGTTTATTCTTCCCTATTTTCATGTTGAACTAAGATTAACAGTAATTGGGCACTCGATTTTTGTCCTCTCCTGCTTAATTCTCTTCTACCGCCTTAAACCTTCTTCGTTTTGATTGTTTGCGAAATTTTTTGGTTTTCCAAAGTTGAGTTTTTTTGCCTAATATATGCAAGATGTGTTTTGAACAAAAGTTGTGTTGTGGTTTTCTTGGTTTAAATTTTTTTCTTTGTATGGAATTTGGGTGTTTAAATTAAGAAGCAGTATGGGTTTAGGAACAGACCTAGGTTGTGTTTTAGATTGACAGCACATCCCAAGTAGAAAGCAAGTGGAAACTACGTCCCAGAAACCATGCTAGATTGAAACTCGATGAAAGTGCTAAAGAAAGTGAAGTTGCTAGCGAGAAGACGGGGAAGGAATTTTCGGAAGAGGAAGAAAGTGAGTTACGAGCACGTATTCGTCAATTAAGGCATGTAGAAAAAAAAGATGCTGAAGATGAAGCCAGGTAGTCTTTCGTATTTTATTTATTTTTTGCTGGAATGATGTGATGTTATTACTTTAATTTTTTAGCGCTATATTCCATTACAAAATGTGTCTCATCGACTTTTTTGACCGTACAGTTTACCTACCGTTATAATTTTTTTTTTTTTTTTTTTTTTTTTTTTTTTTTT